TGCTGGGAAGTTTTTATTTACTGATTAAATTCCCTTGCTAGTAAGATTTTCTATTTCTTCGTGATTCACCCTTTGTAGGTTGTATGTTTCTAGGAATTTATCCATTTCTTCTAGGTTGTCCAATTTGGCATATAATTGGTCATAGTAATCTCTTATGACACTTTGTATTTCTATGGTATCAGCTGTAACTTCTCTTTTATTTCTGATTTTACTTATTTGAGTGCTCTGTCTTTCCTCTTGGTGGGACTAGCTAAAGGTTTGTAAATTTAGTTTATCTTTTCAGAGAACCAGCTCTTAGTTTCGTCGACTGTTTCTATTGACTTTTTAGACTCTATTCCATTGCTTTCTACTCTTTGTTATTTCCTTCCTTCTACTAACTTTGGGTGGCTGCATTTTAATATTCAGCTTAGAGTGGGGGGGAGGAGGGTTTTGATGGAATACCATCCTGGCATGTGCACTAGGCTAAGGAAAGGTGAGGGGTTTCCGAAGGTAATTGAAAGGTTTCTTAATTGGAGTATCTTCTTACACTGCTTTCTGTTGGTATAGCTCACATCTGTGTGGTCCACAGGCCATGGAGTGTTCCTGGCAAGTCATATTTCTGTTGCCATTTAAAAACTTTTTCCTTCCCCCTAAAGGCAGGTCTCACAAAAAGAAAAGATGCCTCCATTGTGGTTAATAAGGAGGGAGACTCCAAAGGTAGTTTAGGTCATCTGGGTTAGGAGTTTGGCTGCTATACTAATAAATGTGATTTCATGAATGAAAAGGCAAAAATCTCTTCTGGATGCTCTGGATACAAACAGATTTCAAGGAGCCTGTGCTGGCTCTTGGCAGCTGTGCCGTGTTTGACCTGATGGAAGGTTGGTTCCTTAGACTGGGTTTGTCTCTGGCAGCAGAAATGCATCCTTTCGGAATGATGCAGTCGTGTCCTGTCAACTTTAGAGGGAACATGCTCACCGTAAAAGTAGCAATTTTGTATTTGGCTTTGCGAAACAGAACTTTCTTTGAAAACGTTAAACCTTACCTTGGAAAACACTGCAGTGGGATTGAAGCATCACCAGTGAATCAAAAACAACTGCAAAGTGCTTTTTTTTTTACTTGTTTGGTGGTGGATCTGAAGCAATATGCCAAGCAGCGCCAGGCAGTGATGGCGTCTCCGTGGCTCGAAGGTGTGGACGGTGTGGAGGAAGGATCCGGCACTGCGGGGTCAAAGCTGGGCTAGGGTCCTTCTCCTACCACTTACTACTCCTGTAAACCTGGGCTGGCCCTGTAATCGCCTTGGCCTTATTTTTATCATCTGTAATATATGGGCTTTGCTGACTTTCCATCGAGTTAATTAGATGACTTGTATCAAACACCCAGCACTTTCCAATCTATTAAAAATTTCCATAAAGTGCCTGAAAAGTGTTGTCATGATACATATCATAAGGCATCGTGAGATGGCAGAAGAAATTTGTCCACGTGATTTTATTGAGAACAGAGACAGATTCAAGTTATCTGTTACTTAAATGTCTACAAATAGAGACAAGAGGCTTGGGTCAAGCTAAGGGTCCACCCAGTCTGTACCTTAACAGAACCTATCCCGCTGACTTAGTCTCACGGTCACGGTGAAGGCCAGCTCCCCGAGCACTGTCTAACTGTGTCAGACCACAGTCAGCTCTGTCTGTCTGTGACCCCCTCCTTGGCACTCGGGTTTCGGGAGTTGGAGGCTTGGGCTAAAAGCCCAGGACTGATGTGAGGGTCATGGGCTGAAGAGAACAAACTTAAGGGAAGACACAGCTCATCCAGGTGAAGAGGCAAAGAAGAGGCCAGAGAGTCCAGAAACCACCGGAAACTGCCAACTCTCTTGTACAGAGGTAAACTCTGGGGGTAATTCTGAGAGTTGACAGGACACACAGGACACAGAGGGGACAATTATCCAGAATTTACCCAGGGGAAAGAGAGTGAACCTCAAAGACTCTTCTTGCCAGAGTTAAGCAGAAACTGGGAGAACATATTAATAAGTGATTGACGGTGATTGGTGGGTGGGGTGACATCCAGGGCACACACACTGGCCAGGGCTCGCTCATGCCCACTCAGCTGGCCCTCAGGATGAATGACTCCCAGGTAAGTTCTGTGAGACACCGAATCAGCAGGGACATTTGGTTAAAGATCTTATGCTTTGCCTATTGAGGTGGGAAAATGAGCTGAGAAAAATTTTCTGGCCCAACACGAATTAGCCAGAAATAATAATTAAATTATATCATGCCTACAGGAAGAAAAAAAATCCTTTCGCAATTTTAGCATAGTCAAATAAATTTAAAAAGTAAGCCAGTCTGCCTTACACAGCATTTTGCTAATGGCCTAAGAGGGAAAGTCAGTTCAGAAACGTGAGGACGGCTGGAGTAGTGGGTCATTAGTTTCTCTTTATCATAAGGTTCATCAGTGACAAAAATTTAAATTCTGAATCCATAATCCACAAGTTAGAATGGGCCCTTAACTTCACATTTCCAAGAGAAGGGACCCTCTTCAACAGGTTTGTCTGTCCTGTAGGGACTGTTTGGAAAACATTGAGCTGATTATTTCCTGTCTTAATTTTGAACTAAGTGAATGTATTCTTTCTAACACTGCACCCACCTGGTATCCATGCCAGTAACAACTTTCCTGGAGACGTAAGAATGACAGACAGACATAACTGTTTCCCAGTGTTTTTAATAAATGTATTATTTTTCTCCGTAAAAATGGAAACTGCTTGTCTCCCAACTCTATTTCCAGCTTCTCTCAGAAACTAGCACTTGGCATTCAGGACCCTGTGAGCACCTCCGGCCTGAACCGACAGTCTTTGGATTTTTGGACGATACATTTCATTTATCTTTCTGGACTCCCTGAGGTTTTGTTGTTAATATGTGAGAGATGTGTTGAGCTTCTTGAATAAAAACCTAGACAGCCACGGGGGTTTCTTTTGCCCCCTCCCCTGCTTCTCCCTACCTCAAAGGAGGTGCGGTAGAAAAGCCAGAATTGCAAGTTTTGGCATCTGGGGTCTGGTCCTGCCTTTGTTGCTCATGTGCTCTGGCGAAGACATTTGCCCTCTTTTGCTGTTTTCTTCATCCTGAAGTTGTGAGGGTGAATGAATGAACATGCTTTCAATCTTCTGACTTCTATAGAAAAGTGCACAAGAGCAAATAAGTATTTCAGCTCTTGGCTTGTAGTTCTCTCAATAAAGTAGAAAGTAAAAACAAAATTTTTAGCAGCGAATGCTTTTATAGGTTTCATATGCAAATTTTCCTCTTTGGATGATCTTAGAATTAGCGGTATGCAGAATTTACTTTGTATTTTTACCTCGATTTTTGATTAACGTTTCCTACCAGTATTCCTTGGTTACTTTGCCATCTACAGCTGCTCTGCTCACCTGTTTCTCAGACCCAAGAGCAGTCCCAGTTTTATTATAATTTCCTTCTGAGCCCTCAAGCCAGGAGGAATGTGCTTCAAGTACTTAATAGATTTTCTGGGCTCTGGAATTTGAAGGAGAATTCACAGAGCAGCCCTCTTTCAAGAGGAGATACTTTTCTTCCCCATCTTTCCATGGCTCTATGTGTGTCGCTTTCCTCCTGAAAATACCAAGATCTCTACCTCCCTCCCCCGTGTGGGACCCAGTGGTTGGAACAGCCCCGCCTTTGTCTCAACAGCCAGGCCCCAAATCTGCTGATACAGCCCTGCCCACCCCCCAACTCATTGCCAAAGCTTCGGATTAAACATGGGGTTAAAAAATCCGATTTGGATTTTCTGTTTTGTTCTTTTTCTCAGTGCCCCTGACAAGTCAATCGAAGCATTGTTCTTGAAAATCTTCACTCCTTTGGTTTTCTGTGTGAGCTAGAATTAGGGCTTTTTCCTGTAAAGCTGTAAGCCAAGGAGAAACTATTTCAGCAATGTTGTCTGCAACGGATACTGTCCAGAGTGCAAAATTCTCTTGGTTTCCCACCAGTCTCCACCGACGAGTCTGCAATCTCTACACCCCCTGTGCTTGCTTCATAAACACCTGACACACTTTAAAAGCAGCCACGTTCCCGCCAGCCACACTTGCCCCAGGTCACTGCTACGTGCAAGTCAGACCCGAGATCTCTAGGTCCCCTAAAAGCCCCCGAGTGGATTGACCTGCAAAAAAATGCTGTAGGTGCGCCACACTCCTTGAATCTTTTGGACGGTGTTGCGTGTTGTGCTGACAGCTGCCCTTACTGGAGAGCCAGCTAATCAATCAGCAAATTTGAGAGGCGACATTCTGGGCTGGACGAGGTAGCATTAGAGCCCAGAGTTCCAGGAGACCCAAGGATGGCTGGGGACTGACCTAGGCTCCGAGTTAACTCTGTGGGATGAACCGGCCACTAGAGCCGTTCTTGCGCGGACCGGGTCAGGGCCCTGGGATGGGAGGAGGGCGATGCGCATCTTGTGGTCGTGCCGGGGCCTCTCCCAGGGTGCATGCGCGTTGGCGTGTGCACGCGTGTGCGTGTCCGCGTGTGTGCATTTGCGTGCGTGTGTGCATGCGTGTGTGTGCGCGCGTCTGCGCGCGTACAGGGAAGGAGGCAGGCGCACGCAGCACCCACGGGATACAGCACAGCCCTGGGGGGCCCCTCTCCATCTCCTGCTGCCGCAGACCCGCGCCGGGGCGGCCCCTCAGGAGAGCGGGCGTCCGAGCCCAGCGAGCGGGGCGCGGCGGCGGGCGCGGGGGGGGGGGCTGGGGGGCGGGAGGGAGGGAGGAGGGCGGGCGGCCGGGCGGGAGGAGGATCCGGGAAGCTCGGCAGTTATTTGACAGGAGCCAGGGAAGCCGCAGAGGCCGCGGAGGACCGCCGGGTGCCGGGAGGGCAGCTGGTTGAGTCCGGGCCGCCCGGAGCGCTGGGGAAGAGGACCCCCGAGCAGCCCCTCTGCCGGCTCCCCGGCCGCCGTGCCAGCGCGCAGAGCGCGGCCGCTGCTCCGAGCGCCGCCCTCGCCCTCCGGGGCCGAGAGCCCCGCCGGCCCCGCGCCCGGTCACCATGCTGCTCCCCCGGCTCTGCTGGCTGCCGCTGCTCGCGGGGCTGCTCCCGCAGGCGCCCGCGCAGAAGTTCTCGGCGCTCACGGTGAGTCCTGGCCCGCGGGGACCTGGCGGTGGCGCTGTGCCGCCTCCTGCCCGGGTCCGGCGGGGTTCCCGCCGTCCACTCCGGCCGAAGCGCCCAGGCACGGGGAGCAGGTGACCCTCGGGGAGGTGGCGCCTCCTTCCGCCCGCGCGGCCGAAACAGGTGGGGCCTGGGCGGCTCGGCGGCGTGCGCGCGCGGAGCTGCTTGGGTGACGGGCCGGGGATGCGATCGGGGGTCCCGTGCCGCCCCAGCCACGGGGGGTGGGCAGGGCCGCGCGCGGAAACCAGTTTTCGGGACGAGGGCGCCGCCCGGCGGATTGTCCGAGGGCTGCCCCGGCGGGGCCTCGGCGCCCACCCGGCCCGGTGTGTCCCGGGCTCGGCTCTCGGCGCGCGGCCGCGCGGACCGCGTGGCGCTTGCCTGGCGAGGGGGCCCTGCTCGTGGGCCCCGCAAGTTTCGCCTAACCCTCCCGGACACCCTCCCTACGTGAACTTGGCGGAAGCAGATGACACGACAAGTGAACATCGTCTTCCTTCCTGCTTAGAGCAGGCAGAAATTGGGGGCCCCGGGGCCCCCGCGCCGGGTGTACCGAGCGCCAGGGTCACCGCGCCGACCGCGGCGGCTTTTGCTTTGCTTTCTTAGCTGCGACTTCTCGGCGGGGCCCGGCCGCCCGGCGCGCAGTGCCAAGCGCGGAGCTCCGCACAGGGGCCGAGCCAAGCCGCCGGCCGCCGGCTGGTCCCTGGTGTCCCAGACCCCGGCTCGGGCAGACCTCGTGGGCTTGCAGTGTTTGCAAACCCGTAATTAATGCAATCTGCAGAAACGAAAACATTCCACTTAAATGTGTTTTTGAACAAGTGCTTGAGAAAACACGAAGGGAGAGAGAACACCTCTGGTGGGGAGATGCTTTTAAGTGGCCGGGGACTCTACCTGAAGGCGTTTATTGTATCGAAAATACCGACGGGTGAGATGGGCTGCAGTCGGGTTCTGCTTTTCAGCAAAGCTCAAGCAGTCCCCGAGCCTCTTTTTTATTTTTTTTTCTTCTTTCCTTTCAAGCAGTACCAGGAGGGAGTTAGTGAGTTCACGGTTCATACCTAAAATTCTTCTGGGGTCCCTGCCTTGTGTCTCACAAATGACTTGTAGATTAGAAACTGCTAACTGGAGCTTGAAGGAGGTTTTCACACGCTCAGCTTTCCCTGTAGAGCCTTTATCTCCGCAGAGGGGCGGTGGAACAAGCCTTGCTCTATGTATCCGTCTATCCATCTATACACACATAGGCGCTTAGACGCCCTCCCCCGCCATAGCGCATCCAAGGCCGCAGAGAAACAGACCAAGTCTCAAAATGAGAGCCCACGTTTCTTCCAGAGATGAAGCAGCAGGTTGTCTATGGTGGCCACAGATTTCCTGAAAGTGCCCAGAGTGCACGTACGTCATCTGGCTGCTCCCCTGAGGAAACCTCCTGGGCTGGGAAAGCAGAAGAGGGCGTTAGTTATTGGAGTAACTGAAAGCGCTACAGGTTTTCTTCTCTTTTCTCCCCTCCACTCTTCTTAGTTAAGCATTTACTTTAAGCCCCTCGTCCTTTGCCTTCCCAAGCCTGCGCAGTCTCAGGAGTTCCCGGGTGGCAGTGATGCCAGCTACGGGTGGGGGTGGGATTCTTGTGCGGAAATGGTACATATGTGGCCCCCTTTGACTGCACTTCCTGAGGAAACCTTTGCCTTAAAACTGCTTTTGCAGATAAAGCGCTGTGCTGCTTTTGCGCCCAGGAGAAAAGCTTAAAGCCACAACATATTTTGGCAAACTCCCCCCGCCCCCGCCCGCCCGGCTATCTAAGACATCAAGAAGTTTTGCTGAGGGGCCGTGAGGGAATGTCGGAGGTGCTGGATTTTCTGTGGTGCTCATCTCTTTTCAGATCGTTTCCCAGTATTTGGGGATCTCTCCTTTCCAGAGCAATGGCTTTCTCTCTGCAAGATTTACACCTGATCTTTAATAAATCAGAGAGACAGTGCCCGTCCCTGGGAGGCTGGGAGTGACCACTAGAAGTCTTCTGGGTGTGTGACCCAAGGCGAGTTACTTAGCTTTCTTAATTTTCAGTGTTCTTATCTGTAAAGTGGGGATAAAGCAATACCCTCTGTTTAGCACGTTGCCGGGATAAAAGGTAAGGCTTTTAGTATACGTACCCGGCATGTGTCTGTTCTGTAATTCACCTTATTTCTGATGGCCATGCCGTTGGTCCCGATGCCATAGTTTTCACAGGTGGCTGTGTCATTCAGGTGTGGGGACGCTGGCCTCACGGTGGTTCTGTCTGTCAGGGACGTGTGTGTAGAGCACAGGGCTTTGCTCTGGGTGAGTATGAGCTTTGCTGAGGTGGATGGTGTCGGCGTGGACGGGCAAGTGAGAAAACTCGCCTGTCTGCCCCCTTCTGTTCCACCCTTTCTTCTCACGTAGAGACAGGAAGAGGCGCTGCCTCTGGGGGTTAGAAGCCTGTTGCTGGCTTCCCTGGATGACGCCTTTGTTTTCCTCTCCCTATAGTGAAAGGTCTTAGTTTGGGGGACAGTGTTGCCAGAATGTGTCAGTGGGTTTGATCACCTCTGCTACTTGCTGCTTGAGACTAAGAGAATCTGCTTGGCTTGATAATTGTCTTTTTTTCCCACCAAAGTTATTCTTCAGAAATGGCACCTTTGTGTGTTTTCCTAGGACTTTCTGAGGGTTTGCATAATCGCCTGGTCATCCGTGAGCCCCGTGTTGTTTCCACTCAGCAGACGGTGCTGCGAAGTGTATCGACCCTCCCCGAACCTTGGTCCCCCTCTGTTTCTTCCTTCTTCTAAGGCCGGATCACGTCCATTTTTCATGAGAATGGTTGACTTTTAAAAAATTTCTGCTCATGGCTGAGACTAGGGAATAACTGCCAGTATAAGTGGTCTGGTTACACATCATTATATTCCTCAAAGATGATCGCATCATAGGGGCGGTTATACGGATTTTGACAGACAGCCAGTAAACCCGGCCCTGGGTGTTTCCTTCCGGGCTGTGAGGCACAATATGCCCCATGACCCCTTCCCCAGAGTGTTTGCGGGGGCCAACTGGATTGATTTTAGAGCTGCCTGAGGGGAACTCTGCCCACACTGAGAACGCAGAGGCCAACGGCTCCCCTTCTCATGTGGCTTCTGGCCAGCCGTGACAATGCTCCCCCGGTTCCTGTCCACTACCTGAGCTTTCTTTGCTCCCAGGGCACTTTGTGTGTGTTTTCTTGTTGATCTCCCAGCAGCCTAACCAGCAAGGCTCTGCCGTATCCATATTCCGGAGGCCCTGTTGGAGCCCCGGACACTGCCCTGATCCAGATGCTTAGAAATTCAACCCGAGGTTGTTTTTCTTCTCTAGGCAGGGCGGAGGGCTTCCCTGCACCGTTTGCTGGGTCACCTCTGAGAATGGTCCAGCTCGACCCTGCCCCTTCCCTCCCAGCCTGGCTGGCCTCCAGCACACGGTGAGGGCAAAGGACTCGGTCGGGGAGACGTGTACCGACAGAGCTGAAGTGGCTGTTTTCCACCCCTGTGTGTATTTGTTTGCTTTGAAGGAGAAGGAAGGAGTTGGGAAGGCAGGATTTGCTCACATATACATGTGACAGTGTGTTGTTATTGGCACAAGAGGGTCTAATGTTGATGCTGCTGGGATGTCGGCGTGGCCCCTCCGGCTCCAGGGCGACTGTGGACCATCCTGCTTGACGCTGTTCTCACTCCCTGCCCAGGCTCTCAGGGAATGATTATGGTTTCTTTCTTCTCCCACTGCAAATGCGCTGAGTACATTTGCTGCTCTGGGAAGGCTGCGTTTAATTCATCAGCAGAAGACGGACCACGGAGGTGGTTAAGGAAAAGGAAACTAAACATCATCAAAATTTTCCAACCTAGAAGCCCATTTACATGGCGACTACAAACCCAAACATCTGGAGGGGTAACTTAAATTCTGATTTGAAATCAAGACCATAAATAAAAGTATAAGCAACTTCAGGCTGTAACAAGATTGTGCAGTAAATGGGCATTGATCTAACCAACACAGGTCGCAATGGTTCAGAACAGAGCAGATTTCCAAGTAATTCTATATCAAAATAAGCCTTCCTGAGAGTCTAGGAATTTAGAATGAGGCTCTTATTAAGATTGGCAGTGGAACACTGGCGTAGAGGGCAAGGGTAACGTTTCATATTTTTGAACTAAAAGGTACACTATTCCACACAGACAAGTCATAGACTCAGAGTGATGCACTTCCGGGTAGATTTTGCAATTGGAGAAGAAAAATTAAGAAATAATTTTCTGAGTTCATTTATAGGAAACTAGAACTGTCACCTCTGTGTTCCCCCAGTTGATGGTGTTGGTCATGGCACAAGATCGCCCTATTAATATCTGTACATCTCTAGAGCTTAAATAACACTTAATATATTGAATATTTAACTGAAGCCCCAGAGAGGAAAGGTTTCAGAAAATGAAATCTTAGTTTCATATATGGGCTAAGAAGAAATTATTCTAAAAGGGATAATCATAGGCATTCTTATGTGGTTTTGTAGTCCCAGGATGAAAATCAAAGCGCAAAGATTTGTAATAAGGCACAAATGAATAGAACCCAGTAAAATGGTAACTGACATTTATATTGTCATGATTGAAAAACAAGAAATTATAACTGGAAACTTGTACTAGCCGTGTCCAGGTTTAATCAGAATTTTCAACATGGAGGCCCTCTCAGAATGTCTAGTAACACTCCAATTATATTTAGGTTTTTATTACGTATGGCATAATGTGGGATACTAACCAAGTAAACTGGCAGTTAAGGGACGGTGCAATGTCAGTACAGTAAGTGACCCTTTTCTTCCTTCAACACATATCTTCCCTCTTTTTACTTTCTTCTTTTCCCTGGTCATCTTTTTTCTTTATCTTTTAGGCCTCTGCCCAAATTACAGTGAACTCCCTTCGCTTCTCCTATGACCGTTAATGTTACTGTTTCTATTTTAGCGCTAGCTGAGATCC